GAGCAGGAGATCCTTACAAAATAACATTTGGAAGGGACCTCGGAGGTCATCTAGTCCAACCCCCTGCTCAAGCAGGAGATCCTTACTACATTAACATTTGGAAGGGGGCTCGGAGATCATCTAGTCCAACCCCCTGCTCGAGCAGGAGATCCTTACAAAATAACATTTGGAAGGGACCTCGGAGGTCATCTAGTCCAACCCCCTGCTCGAGCAGAAGATCCTTACAAAATAACATTTGGAAGGGACCTCGGAGGTCATCTAGTCCAACCCCCTGCTCAAGCAGGAGATCCTTACTACATTAACATTTGGAAGGGGGCTCGGAGATCATCTAGTCCAACCCCCTGCTTGAGCAGGAGATCCTTACAAAATAACATTTGGAAAGCACCTGGGAGGTCATCTAGTCCAACCCCCAACTCAAACAGGAGACCGTTGCAGAATTTACAGAATCATAAGAGTTGGAAGAGAGACCTCGGAGGTCATCTAGTTCAACCCACCCCTCCGCTTGAGCAGAAAACCCCTTCCAGAAGGACAGAGCTGGAAGGGACATGGAAGGTCCTCTAGTCCGGCCCCCTGCTCAAGCAGGAGACCATTACATAATTACAGAATCACAAGAGTCGGAAGCGATCTTGGAGGTCATCTAGTCCAACCCCCTGCTCAAGCAGGAGACCCATACACCATTACAGAATCACAAGAGTCGGAAGGGACCTGGGAGGTCATCTAGTCCAACCCCCTCCTCAGGCAGGGCACCGGCCTAGACCATTTCACACAAATGGCTGTCCAGTCTCTTCTTAAAAACTTCCAGTGTTGGAGCATTCACCGCTTCTGGAGGCAGGGAGTTCCACTGGTTAATTGTTCTCACTGTCAGGAAGTTTCTCCTTAGTTCCAGGTTGCTTCTCTCCTTGATTAGTTTCCATCCGTTGCTTCTTGTCCTGCCTTCAGGGGCTTTGGAGAAGAGCTTGACTCCCTCTTCTTTGGGGCAGCCCCTGAGATACTGGAACACTGCTATCATGTCCCCCCTCGTCCTTCTCTTCGTTAAACTAGACATCCCCAATTCCAGCAGCCGTTCCTGATATGTTTCAGCCTCCAGTCCCCTGATCCTCTTTGTTGCTCTTCTCTGCACTCTTTCCAGAGTCTCAGCATCTTTTTTACATCGTGGGGACCAAAACTGGATGCAGTATTCCAAGGGTGGCCTTACCAAGGCCTTGTAAAGTGGTAGTAACCCTTCACCTGATCTTGATTCTATCCCTCTGTTGATGCAGCCCAGCACTGTGTTGGCCTTTTTGGCAGCTGCAGCACACGGCTGTCCGAAATGGAATAGGGTTTCCTGCCTAAGCAGGGGGGTTGGACTAGATGACCTCCGAGGTCCCTTCCAACATCATCATCATCATCATCATCATCATCATCATCATCATCATCATCATCATCATCATCATCATCATTATTATTAAGAGACTGGACAGCCATTTGCCTGAAATGGTATAGGGTTTCCTGCCTGAGCAGGGGGTTGGACTAGATGACCTCCAAGGTCCCTTCCAACTTTATTATTATTATTATTATTATTATTATTATTATTATTATTATTATTATTATTATTATTATTATTATGAGACTGGATAGCCATTTGTCTGAAATGGTATAGGTTTCCTGTCTGAGTAGGGGGTTGGACTAGATGACCTCCAAGGTCCCTTCCAACATCTTGATGATGATGATGATGGTGGTGGTGGTGGACTGGACAGCCACTTGTCTGAAATTGTCTAGGGTTTCCTGCCTGCGCAGGGGGTTGAACTAGATGACCTCCAAGTTCCCTTCCAACTTTATTATCATTATCATCATCATCATCATCATTATTATTATTATTATTATTACTACTACTACTACTACTACTACTACTATTACTGCTGCTGCTGCTACTACTACTACTACTACTATTATTATTATTATTATTAACATATGGTCTACTAGGATTCCCAGATCATAGATTACTACTACTACTACTACTACTACTGCTGCTGCTGCTGCTACTACTACTGCTACTACTACTACCATTATTATTATTATTATTATTATTATTATTATTATTATTATTATTATTATTATTAAGGGATGGTCTACTAGGAGTCCCAGATCATAGATTGGTACTACTACTACTGGTGCTGCTGCTGCTGCTACTACTACTACTACTACTATTATTATTATTATTATTACTATTATTACTATTATTATTATTATTATTATTATTACACTGCACAGCCATTTGTCTGAAATGGTATAGGGTTTCCTGCCTCAGCAGGGGGGTTGGACTAGATGACCTCCAAGGTCCCTTCCAAGATCATCATCATCATCATTATTATTATTAAGAGACTGGACAGCCATTTGCCTGAAATGGTATAGGGTTTCCTGCCTGAGCAGGGGGTTGAACTAGATGGCCTCCCAGGTCCCTTCCAACATCATCATCATCATCATCATCATTATTATTATTAAGAGACTGGACAGCCATTTGCCTGAAATGGTATAGGTTTCCTGTCTGAGTAGGGGGTTGGACTAGATGACCTCCAAGGTCCCTTCCAACATCATGATGATGATGATGATGGTGGTGGTGGTGGACTGGACAGCCACTTGTCTGAAATTGTCTAGGGTTTCCTGCCTGCGCAGGGGGTTGAACTAGATGACCTCCAAGGTCCCTTCCAACTTTATTATCATCATCATCATTATTATTATTATTATTACTACTACTACTACTACTACTATTACTGCTGCTGCTACTACTACTACTACTACTATTATTATTATTATTAACATATGGTCTACTAGGATTCCCAGATCATAGATTACTACTACTACTACTACTGCTGCTGCTGCTGCTGCTGCTACTACTACTGCTACTACTACTACCACTATTATTATTATTATTATTATTATTATTATTATTATTATTATTATTATTATTATTATTATTATTAAGGGATGGTCTACTAGGAGTCCCAGATCATAGATTGGTACTACTACTACTGGTACTGCTGCTGCTGCTACTACTACTACTACCACTATTATTATTATTATTATTATTATTATTATTATTATTATTATTATTATTAAGGGATGGTCTAGTAGGAGTCCCAGATCATAGATAGGTACTACTACTACTGGTACTGCTGCTGCTGCTGCTACTACTACTACTACCACTACTACTACTACTATTATTATTATTATTACTATTATTACTATTATTATTATTATTATTACTATTAAGGGATGGTCCACTAGGATTCCCAGATCCCTCTCACTGTTGCTACTATTCAGCAAGGGACTACCTATCCCATCCCTGGGCATTTGGTTTCTCTTGCCTAAAGGTAGTTTAGCCAAACGCTCCTGCTCAATTAGACTTTTGCTCAATGCTAACGGCTAATTAGGCTAAGTGGGACCGGGGGGGGGACGACACCCGCTGCTCCACGCACCCCACGGCCGCCCGGCGTTGGGCCGAGCCGCCAGACAGACAGGAGCTCAAAATCCAGAAAAAGCTACTTTATTTATTCACTGTGCGTGCAGGAGGAGAACGGTCGCGTGAGAAGCGGTGAGTAACTTCGGAGTAGCGGAGTTCGGGAGTCGCGGCTGGGAAGCCCTTCAGCTGCTCTTTGCTCCCGGGGAAGAGCCAAAGGCCGGCGGCGGGGGGCTTGGGGGGCCTTCCCTACGTGCCCCTCAGGCACGGCTCTGCTCTTTGCCCGGATCCTCGGGCGCAGGAGAGACGTCCGCATCCTCCAGGGCCACGTAGTCCCGCCAGCCTCCCTGCGAGACAAAAAGGATTGCAGCGGCTTCCCCAGGATTGGCCAGTGGCCAGCAAGACCCCCCCCGCCATTCACCCCAGAGCAGGGGTCCCCAACCTAGGGGCCGCAACCCACTAGTTTGCAAACCGGGCCGCAGAAACAGCCGACGAGCACACGGGCGCGAGCAGCNNNNTCCTCCAGGGCCACGTAGTCCCGCCAGCCTCCCTGCGAGACAAAAAGGATTGCAGCGGCTTCCCCAGGATTGGCCAGTGGCCAGCAAGACCCCCCCCGCCATTCACCCCAGAGCAGGGGTCCCCAACCTAGGGGCCGCAACCCACTAGTTTGCAAACCGGGCCGCAGAAACAGCCGACGAGCACACGGGCGCGAGCAGCAGGCGAGGACACGAGCGCGCTCCACTGAAAGCGAGCGGCAGGTGCTCGTGCACGCCGCTCGTGCAAACGGAGGCCCTGCTGCCCGCGCGCGCGCGCTTGCCGGCCGTTGGTGTGGAACCATCCCTTCTCCCACCCGACGGTCCGCCAAGCCGGAACCGTCGGAGAGCTCGGCTCCAGAGGGAATGTGGCCCCGGGGGACATCTTCCCGAGATCTCTTCTTGGGAAGCTGAGCGATTAAGTGCGACTCCTTCTGGAGTACCCGGAGCGACAACAGCCAGGGATTCCCGGGGTGTGTGTGTGTGTGTGTGTATGGCTGCCCTCCAGAGTGCCCGACCCAACTGTGCCCACTGGGGCCGGGAGCTCTGGGCCCTTCCCTCCACGTACCCAGCAGGAGCAACACAGGCGGCGCAAACCGTATCCGAAGCAGAAGAGGGCGGTGGCCAGAGCGGCGACGTGCACGATCAGCAGGAGGATCTGGGTGCTGCTCAACATGCGCTGGGGAAAGAGGGGGGCTCAAATCAGCAGGAGAGGGGGGCAGGCGGACAAGGCAGGCGCTCGCTCCACCAAAGCCCACCGGCACTGGCTCCCATGCTTTGTCCACACCGGCCAGGACTCAGCGGGGAGACAGGAGGAGGGCGTCGGAGAGGGGGAATGCCCGTCTGCGAGGACCAGAGGGTACTTTCTCCCGGGGCTGAACACATCTTCCCGAATCCGCCGGAGGACAGGTGAGCCCTCCTTGCCCTTCAGCCCGACGTTCAGGACAGACCGACAGACCGAGGGAGGCCCGTACTTCGAAGGTCCCATCCTGGGATTGCTGTCTTCTAAGAGGCGCCGCTGCCCGCCTCCCTCTCTGGCGAACCAACTCACCACGAGCCCTACGAGAGCCTCCTGGCACTCCTTGGCCCGCTCTTGGTCCCTCTTGTCGTCGTACGGAGGTCTGGTGGTCGCTTCCCACGAGCGGTAACCCCGGTCCTCCGCTCTGTGCTTGCAGAGGTTATCAACAAAGTAGGGGTCGTAGAACAGGGGTGCGAACTCCGTCAAGCCCAGCGTGAAGGCCACCGAGCCGGCCACGACGCTGCCCAGGTTGAGGAAGGTGGCCAGGTGGACCTAGGAGGCGAGGCGGGTCACGGATGAGAACGGGCACCGGGGGCCTTGCGACAGGTCGGGGACCGGGACCTTCCCCACTTACCCAGTATCCGCTGCGTCGTGCACCCACCACCGAGAAGGTGCCGGAGAGGATGAACTGCAGAAAGAGCGGGAAGCAGATCGGTGAGGGGTGTCTGTCTGAGCCTCCCGCCCACCCACCTGTCAACAGTCCAGTTGGCATGTCCAGAAAAAGAGACTCCTGGGACATCACATTTTACTGAAAATCGCCCCCACCCCATCGGGTCTTCCCATTGTCCAATAGCAATATGGCTTTTTGTGATGGATACACAGTCCACTTCTCCTTTCAGCCCCTGCGTTAGCGGCCTTGGCTCTCGGTTGCCTAGATCAGGGGTCCCCAACCCGGGGGCCGTGGCCCACTCCCGGCCAGTCCGGGCCACGGGATGGGCCGGCCGCTGCGCGCACGTGTGCGTGCACTCACCCCCAAGGTAAAAACGGGGCGAAAACAGGGTGCCGTGTGAAAACGGGGCACCACAAGGCAAAAACGGGGGGCCTAGTGAGCGTCACGCGGGTGCGAAGCGCCGCCCCGTTTGTGTCCCGCGCGACACAGCAAACGCTCCACCCAGCAAGCCCAGAACCTCCCCTGCCCACTTTTGTGCACTGGACTGACTCCCGGGGACGTCGGCGCGGCAGCAGTCCAGCCATCTTTGTCCCGTCCCAGAATCCTCCCCTGCCGCTTCTCGAGGGGGAGGGGGTTGCCAGCTGAGACCAAGGGGGGGACCCTCCCCCATTCCTCCCTCTCCCTCCCCCCAGTACTCACCAGGCCGCCCATCCAGAAAGGGACTCCGTTACAGATTGACCGCGTGAAGTAGTAGGGTAGCTCACGGTTGGGCACAAGTACGCTCAGCACCACGCCGAGGCCGATGCAGACAGCGCCGAGCAGGATCTGGGCTCCCTAGTGGGGGGGACAGTGGGGGGGGACCCCAAGCAGCGTCAGCGGGCAAAGGGGGCGGGGTCACGGATGTCCGGCAGACTCTCCCCAATCGAGGTTAGCTGGAGACCCCCGGTGGGGAGTTGTAGTTCCCTTTGTGGCCGGAGCGGAGAGAGAGGAGCAGCCCCTCAGCTCCTTCCTGACTCAAGTCAGGGTTGGGAATAGAATAGAGGGGGCCTCGGAGGTCATCTAGTCCAGCCCCCCTCCTGCCGCCCAACCAGGAGAACCTACTACACTGTTTTATAACTAGTGTGTCAAAAGTAAAAAAAAAAAAGGTTGAGATTTGATGTTACTATGTTTATTTTAATAGAGACGGAAGTCTTTCTTTCTTTCTCTTCTTTTTCTTTCTTTCCTTCCTTCTTTCCATCCTTCCTTCTTTGTTTTCTTCCTTCCTTCTTTCTTTCCTTCCTTCCTTCTTTCTTTCCCTTTCTTTCTTTCTTTCCTTCCATCCTTCTTTCTCTTTTCTTTCTTCCTTCATTTTTATTTCTATTCCTTCATTCTTTTCTCTTCTTTTTCTTTCCTTCCTTCCTTCTGTCCTTCTTTCTTCCTTCCTTCTTTCTTTCTTTCCTTCCTTTCTTTCCTTTCTTCTTTCCTTCCATCCTTCTTTCCCTTTTTTTTCCTTCATTTTTATTTCTATTCCATTCTTTCCCTTCCTTTCTTTGCTTTCTTTCTTTCCCTTCTTTTTCTTTCTTTCCTTCCTTCCATCCTTCCTTCTTTCTTTTCTTCCTTCCTTTCTTCCTTCTTTCCTTCCTTTCTTTCTTTCCCTTTTTTCCTTTCTTTCTCTTTCCTTCCTTCCTTCCTTTCCTTCCTTCTTTCTTTCCCTTTCTTTCTTTCCTTCCATCCTTCTGTCTCTTTTCTTTCTTCCTTCATTTTTATTTCTATTCCTTCACTCTTTCCCTTCCTTTCTTTTCTTCCTTCCTTCCTTTCTTCTTTCTTTCCTTCTTTCTTTCCCTTTTTTCCTTTCTTTCTCTTTCCTTCCTTCCTTCTTTCCTCTTTCCTTCCTTCCTTCTCTTTCCCTTTCTTTCTTTCCTTCCATCCTTCTTTCTCTTTTCTTTCTTCCTTCATTTTTATTTCTATTCCTTCATTTTTTCCCTTCTTCTTTCCCTTCTTTTTCTTTCCTTCCTTCCTTCCGTCCTTCTTTCTTTTCTTCCTTCCTTCTTTCTTTCTTTTCTTCTTCCCTTCTTTCTTTCCTTCCATCCTTCTTTCTCTTTTCTTTCTTCCTTCATTTTTATTTCTATTCCTTCATTCTTTCCCTTCCTTTCTTTTCTTTCTTTCCCTTTTTCTTTCTTTCCTTCCATCCTTCCTTCTTTTCTCCCTTCCTTCCTTCTTTCTTTCCCTTTTTATCTTTCCTTCCTTCCTTCTTTCTTTCCCTTTCATTCTTTCTTTCCTTCCATCCTTCTTTCTCTTTTCTTTCTTCCTTCATTTTTATTTCTATTCATTCTTTCCCTTCCTTCCTTTCTTTCTTTCTTTTCTTTCTTCTCTTTCCCTTTCTTTCTTTCCTTCCATCCTTCTTTCTCTTTTTTTTCTTCCTTCATTTTTATTTCTATTCCTTCATTCTTTCCCTTCTTTCTTTCTTTCCCTTCTTTTTTGTTTCTTTCCTTTGTTTCCTTCCTTCCTTCTTTCCCTCTCCTCTTTCTTTCCCTTTTTTCATTCTTTCTCTTTCCTTCCTTCCTTTTCCTTTCTTTCTTTCCTCTTTCCTACTTTCCTTCTTTCTTTCCCTTTCTTTCATTTTTTCTTTTTATTTCCTTCCATCCTTTCTCTTTTCTTCCTCTATTCATTCTCTTTCTTTCTATTCCTTCATTCTTTCCCTTCCTTTTCTTTTCCTTTTCTTTCCTTTTTCCCCTTTCTTTCTCTTTCCTTTGTTTCCTTCCTTCCTTCCTTCTTTCCCTCCCTCCTTTCTTTCTTTCCTTCGTTCCTTCCTTCCTTCCTTCATTTCTCTTTCCCTCCTTTCTTTTTCTTTTCTTTCTTTTCTTTTTCTCTTCCTTCCTTTCTTTCCCTTCTTTTTTTCTTTCTTTCCTTCTTTCGTTCCTTTCTTCTTTCTTTTTCTTTTTTCTTTCTTTCTTTCCTTCTTTCTCTTTTCTTTTTTCTTTCTCTCCGCTTTTTCTCTTTCCCTTCCTTCCTTCTTTTCTTTTTCTTTCTTTCTTTCCTTTCTTTTTCTTTCCTTCCATCCTTACTTCTCTTTTCTTCCTTCCTTCCTTCTTTTTTTCTTTCCTTTCTTTCTTTTTCTTTCTTTCTTTCCTGTTTTTCTTTCCTTCCTTCCTTCCTTCTTTTTCTCTTTCTTTTTTTCTTTCCTTCCTTTTCTGCTCTTTCCTTCTTTCCTTTTTTCCCCTTTCTTTCTTTCTCTCCTTTCTTTCTTTCTTTCTCTTTTCTCCTTCCTTCCTTTCCTCCT